ATAGATCTTGGCAAAAAACAGAGAATATCAGAAGGATGCCTCTGTGTTTTATTGACTATGAAAAGGCATCTAAGTGGATCACAATAAACTACGGCTAACACTGAGAAGAATCAGAATCTTAGAACACTTAGTTGTGTTCATGTAAAACCTGTACCTAGACTAAAAGGCTTTTGTCAGAATAGAAAAAGGAACACTTCATGTTTTAAAATCATGAAAGGTCTGTGACAAGGATATATTCTTTGTTCATAACTAATCTATATGCTGAGCAAATAATTCAAGAGCTGGACTTCATGAAGCGGATAATGGCATCAGGATCAAATGAAGACTCATCAGTTACTTGCATTATGTACATAACACAACCTTGCTTGGTGAAAGTGAGGAGCACCTGAAATGCTTGCTGCAAAAAAGACAAAGGACTACAGCTCCCAATTTGGATTATATCTTAGCATCAGGGAAACAAATACCATCACCATTGGACCAAAATGTAATATCATGATAGAGGGGAAAAACATCACTCGACAGAGCCTCGCTGTACTTGGAGCTCTTCCACGTCCACGCTGGGTTGATGCCTCCACACTAGATGCTTCCCCGCACAGCTAGTCCTCACGAGGCTTGTATGGGGCAGGAGTTTGTGTATGCAACATGAAGGATAGGTGATGACCAGTTGCCCACATCTTTTCCCTTTACCTTACTTGGTTTCACAGTCAAAACCCTTGGGACCAGCAGTCAAGAAATCAAGATATTTCATACTGGCAAAATATGCTGTCAGGGTCCTCTCCTGAGTAATAAAGAAGGGTGATATTATTTGATTCAAGGCATGGTTTTCTCAACTGCTTGCATCTGTTAGTTGGACAACGACTAAAGATAACAGAAGAAAAATCGGTGCCTTTGAATTGTGTTGCTGGAAAAAAATTACTGAATGTCCCCACAGACTGCCAAGAAAGCAAAGAGATCTTTGCTGGAGAATGTGAAATCAGGGTGTTTCTTGAAACAAAGGATGAGGACATTTTGTCTCATATACTTTGGGCATTTAGTTAGGGAGCGCCAGTCCTTAGAGAAGGACATTACACTTGGAAAGGTGGAAGGGCAGTTTAAGAGGAAAACTATCAGCATGTTGGAATAAAACAGTAACTGCAGCAATGGGTTCAAGTGTGTTGGAGATGGTATGAAAGAGGGTTCAGATATGTTATTCATAGGTTCACTGGGAGTTGTACTAGACTCAATGGTTCGTACCAAGTGGGTAAACAGTTGTGCTGTCAACTCAAATGAAGGCAGTTAAAAGCCACCAGCTTTTCCACAAGAGAAATATAGAAAATCGATTTATAACCTCTGAAAACCCACTGGAGGGTCATCTACGATTTGGTTCTGACTAGATGTCATTAAACAGAGTTAGACCAAAGGATAGTTTAAAACTTAAAATCAGATCATATCAGTTTTCTGCATAAAATCCTCCAACAGCATCCCATGATGATCAAACAGACCCTATAGGATCAAATAGCTGCTTAGTTTCACACTTTTTTCTTAGTACTCTTTCCTATCTCAGTAAATTTATACCTTATATACTGCTGTTTCTTATCTTGGAGTAAACCAAACACATTCCTTCTCCTATATAAACTCTCTGCTTGGAATGTATTTCCTATCACAATTCCTTCCATTTTGTCATTATGCTTCAGCTATTCTTACCACTAGCTCTAAAATAAACATACTGGATAAATTTCAGTTCTCTATTTTGTACTAATCACTACCTTTGAGTGTGTGTATATTTAACTGGTAATTGTCTCCCTTTATGAAAGCTTGCTTTGTTCATAATCTTTTATGAGAGACTCAGTATCTTATTTAAGTGCCTGTACTTAGATGGGACTTCAATAAATGTGTTTACTGTGAATAACAGAACTGCTGTATTGAAATTTATATTCAGAAGGAGAACTCAGTAAAGTAAAAGGGTCATACACTTAAATTTTGTTATCTGTTGCATTGGAGAAAATGAACTATAATAGAAGAAACTGAGGAATCAATAGATAGAATTAGAGACTTTGCACAGTGAGGTTATATTTATGCTGAATGAAAGCTCTAGGAAGGAACCAACCATGCAGACCCGAGAGTTTCCAAGACAGAAAACAGTAGTTAAAAGGTGTTAGAGGCTATATAAAGTTAAGTGAGTCTCAGGAGTTAGTGTGACTATAAGATAGTGAAAGCACAGAAGGAGAGAAGGGGTTTTAAAAGTAGTTAATGACCAGATTATGCAAGCCTTGTTAGGGAATGGCAGAGTTTAGATTTTATTTCAAAAGAATGTATCATTTAAGTAGTCACTGTGCACAGCCTTATTAATCAAACCATGCCCTGAACCAGGAGTTATCAGCATCATATTTAATGTCAAAATAGAAGGAACTCAGCCATTATCCTGTTGCCATGACTGTGCATTGTTGAGTCAGAATTGACTCAAAGCTGACCCCCCAGTGGGTTTTTCAGAGGGAGTAATTAAAAAGACAGGAGACCATCCATCTTTCTTCTGCAGTCACTACCCTAGTAATGAATAAAAATTTTCATTTTTAAAAAAGGATTCCCAGATGATGTATATGCACACTGAAATTTGTAAAATTCCCTAAGTTCCAAATGGGAGATGATCATGGCTAGATAAAAGAAGTTAGATTTGTTTGCAAGGTAAAGTTGGCTTAACTCTCATACACAGTTAAATGGAGGTCTTGGTAGGTAAGCACCTATATAAACTTAGATTCCAGAGAAATACTTTGACTTGTAGCTACAAATCTGCCAAGTCTTGCATTTCAATTGATTTTTAGTGTTTTACAGTTTGCTTATGTTTGCATTTTGTTATCTTTATGGGCAATAAGACAAAACTAAAAAATAATCAAACTCATTACTGTTGAGTTGTAACTTATTAAGTGATCCTCCACTGGATTTCTATTGGGTGCCATCAGGTTGGGATTCATGGGTTTTCAGAGGCAGAGAAGGCTGTAAATCTCAAAGAAGGCGATTGTCCCCGGATAGCCACTAGTGGATGCAAACTAGTGGTCTTTGGATTAGCAGTGCAACTCTCTACAGAGCTCCTGAAATAAAACATAGCTCTGGTGGTCTAGTGGGTGGGGAATTGCACTGTAAACCCCAAGATGTGTGGTATAAATCCACCAGTTGTTATATGCCAGAAAGATGGGCAATCTCCTGTCATATGATTTACAGCCTCTGAAAACCCACTTGTTAAGTGCCATCAAGTTGTTTGCAACTCATAGCAACTCTACATCTCTGAACCGTACTCTATCCTGATCCAACTTTATTGTCTCTGACACACCTACCACCATTACCCTAGTCACTGAGTCAATTCATCTTATCCAGGGTCTTCCTTCTTGCACTGTCCCTCCACCCTCCCAAGCATGACATCCCTCTCCATGGACTGGTCTCTCTTACAACATGCCCAAAGTCAGACGGAGCTTCAGAATCCTTGCCTCCCAGAAGCAACCTGTTTTCACCCACTCTCATTAAAGCCAGCATCACTTCAGACTCCACAGTATGAATTTTTTTTTGGAGTTCTGTAAGTTGTCTAAATCCTCTGTTCTTTCATCCTGAATTCTTAACCTTCGATGTCTTTCATCAAATTTTTACTAACTCCTTTAACCTCTGCTTAGAATATGATTTAAATTCCAAGATCAAGCTTGATCAGTGCTCTTCCTCCTCTGGATTCTTCATTTTTCAGGTTTTAACTGGGATAGGTACTTCAACTCTGGTGGCCTAATTTGTAAGCTATTACATCACTAACTAAAAGATTATGCAACTCAAAGGTTAGAATCCCAGGGAGAGAGATGGGTCATTGTCAATGGGAACTGACTCCAAGGCCATCAGTGTTTGAGTTTCCAGCTGCAAACATGGGTGGAAACGCCAGGGTTGGGGAGTACATTTTTCTTGATGCCCAGTTTTATATTTCTAAAAAAAAGGATCACTGAAGGGGGAAGTCAATTACTAGGAATGAATGAAGAAAGTCCCAAGTGAGGAAGATTACTAGGGTTGCAACATTCCAAGGTCAAGGATAAACTGAGTCAGTACGTTTATTGCTATTTATGTGTTAATGTGGAATTCCAATTTCATACCCTCTCTATACCATTTTTGGAAGCAGGAGTGTCTGTCATCCACTTCAGTGGGGCTTCAGGCCTTTTGTCATAGGGTCACTGAGGGTCGTGCTCGGCTTGAAGGCAACCAACAATTATACATTTGTCTCACCAACGACAGTTTAATCAATGAAAAACTTACTCTCCCCAAACACCCACACACTAAAACTCACTGCTATGGAGTCTATTCTAACCAGTGACTTCAAAGGGCAGGGTAAACAACTTCATAAGATTCCTTGGCTGTTAAAATTCTATGAAGCTGATTATCACAACTTTCTGGTAGTTTCCAACAAACAACCTTTTCGTTAGCAGCCAAGTGCTTACCAATTGCACCATCAGGGACCCAGTTAAAACTTTTATTCTTGTAAAAACAATTTCAGAATCCGGTTTAAATTTACAAGGTAAACCCAAAAGAAGCCTGACTAAAATGACATTATCATTTTAAATGGTTCCCCTCAATTTTCTATTCTCATCGTGAATTTATGTGGTCATTCACAAGACATTCTCTGAACTCAACGAAACCATGTCTCTTCCAAGATCAAATGTCCATTTGAAGAGGACGGCGTCAATGAACGCTGCTTACAGAAATAAAAGCTAAGGGTATGTTCCAGAGCCAAGAAGGTCAGGGTATTGGAGGACACGGCCTCTTGAGGCCGCCCATAGAGTGACCACGGACCGCAGAGGGGAGGGCGAAAGTTGAGGACGCAACTAAAAGTCCCTGCGGTCTGCAGGTGTGAGGCGCGTGAGTGGGGAAGGCCAGGCGCCACCCTGCTCGGGACGTGCGTCCCGGGATCACTCCAGGTCTCGCTCCTCCCCGCCGACAAGGGGGAGAAAGGGCGCTGGACTGCCAGGCTATAAAGGGCTCCCGGCCTTCAAGGGCTCGCTTCGGCTCGCCTGCACCTCCGGCTCCGCCCAAGCCGCCTCCCTCTTCTTCAGGCTCCCGCTGCCGCGCGGGTCCTACTCGACCTTCTCGGGCCTCGGCTACTCGGGCTGCGGCAGAAGATGGCGACTCCCGTGGCTCAGGCCGACAGCTCCGAGGCGGCGCTGGCTGCTGCCCTGGCGGATGTGCCTGAGCTAGCTAGGCTCCTGGAGATCGACCCGTATTTGAAACCCTTCGCTCGGGAGTTCCAGCGCAGGTACCAGCGAACTGCACCCCACCTCCCAGCGCAGGCTCCAGGCCTGGCCGCCCGCACCCCGCGCTCAGCGCCGCTCCCGCCCCGCCCCTCCATTCCCGCCGTGCGCGCCGGCCTTGCCCCGCCCCCGGGGACGAGCCCTAGTGGGCGGGGCTCCGGATGAGTAGGGTGACTGGGGCTGGTCGTTTACCGAGTTGTGTCTAGAGGCTTTAAGCGTTCTGAGTTGTGTGGAAGTGCTGGATTACTTTAAAATGTGTTCAGTTCCTCTCCCTTCCATCCGTTTTGTTTCTTGGGCGAGGCGCACTAGTTTCCTCTAGTACTGGTAGGGCTTCAGAGCAGCGCCGTGCTGGTTTCATATTCGCATGACCAGAGCGCTCTTGTGAATTGGTCTGAGATGTGTAAATGTGCAGTTTCTGGGTTACTTAATAGCAGATACTCTAATTTTATATATAGCAAAGTTTTCCAGGAAGGCACCATATGCCCTAGTTTTGGTTAGTATTCTTTATCTCATGGAAGATTAAGCCTGTCTTGATCACTTTCCCCCTTTCTTAGACTAATATGGTATCAGCAAAAGTACATGGCCATCCTGAAGAAGAAGGTATAAGAGGAAAGCTGAACTTTTACACATTTGGGATGCTTTAGTTTAAGCGTGTTGTCTACCATACTGCAATTAATTTATTTCCAATCTTTTAGTTGCTGTCATCATAATTGTGCTGATCAGACTAAAAAAGTGGAGTTTGGGGAAAAAATTAACACTAATTATGCTAGTTTTTGAAGGAAGTACATGGTGATTTAATGGCTTCTCATCTTTTACTAGATTCACTTTAGAAGGAATCCTACTGGAACAGTAGAACATTCATAGTCAATTTTTAAAATGATGGAGACCTGACATGAATTTTTAAGTGATAGTTAATAAGAATCACTGGAATATGAAGAAAATAAGAGTGCTTTGCAGGTTTAGTTAGTTAAAATTTATGTCCTGGCATTGTCACTTAGTTTCTGTTTTCAATTCAGCAAAAGTTTATTCAGTAACCTCTCTGAGCAAAGGCATTTTCCTAGGGATTGTAGATGACAAATAAATGAACACAGCATCTAGTTGTAGAGCTTTTACGCCTTAATGAATAGTGCGCACTCTCTTCATAGTAACTACTTTGAGATAGTTAATGAAATGATTGTGCCATTATTTAAAGTGTTAAAAACAAAAGTTTGCAAAATTGCTTTCAGAATTTGCAATGTATATATTTTAAGAGAAATTAATGCATCATTTTTATAGTTCCAGATTGGTTTAATTTAGAAATAATAAAACAGAAAAATAGAGGATTGAAATATTGGTTACACTTAAAAAAAACCTCAAAACCAGGAAAAACTGCTGGGTTGGTTTTTTTTAATGTATATCTTAGAAAATGATGCTCAAGACAAAGGCATTTCTAAGAGTTCTGAAATAGAAATGTTTTATCTCATCCTTCCCCACCCCCAAATACAAAATGACCACAATTAGACAAAAATTCCTTGTTAAAATGTGTCTTTCATATGCTTCACTTCCAACTCTACTGAGAGTGAAGCAATTATAATTCTCTTTTATGGTTTGTCAAAACTAATGAAAAGGACAAAGGCCAAAATAAAGAAGCACAAAGAATCCAGTGTTCTGTGTGGAAAGACTGGTCCAGTGGGCCTCTGTGCCTTACTCTGACCTGGATTCTCCTTCTAGCTCTTGTTTGGATTAATTGCCATTTTCCAGCACACGTGTTCCACTGAGGCATATCAAGTAGTAATTTGGCATTTGGCAGCCGTTGCTTCCACTATGTGAAGAACCAAAATTCCTCCTGCACAAGTGTGATTTGGTTACTTAGCCTTAAAAAAAAAAATCTAGTAATCTACCACAGCGATGTGTCTTTGATTTAACAAAAATATACAATCAGTCCATCATTTGGGTATAAAATATACTTACTAAGGGGTAAAAACAATTTGAGGTACAAGCAAAAATGTGAAACAAAGGTGATAGAGACAATTTTATTTCCTCATGAACAGATGGTTTTATTATTCCCCAGGAGCTTCTCTTCATTTTAAATTATATTGTGTACTTTTATTGTTATTATTTAAATTTTCTGTAGATGGAAAAATATGAATCTAGTTTAGATGAATAGTGAGTTATGTTGCAGCATAAAATGAAAAGTGGTACATTAATGTGTATAAGACTTCCAGGTTATCTCAGGCATTTCTAAACTATAAACTTCTGGAGATAGAGCTCCTGAAAAATTCCTTCTGAGAGGAGTATGTTTAAGCAGAAGTAATTCTACAAATAGCTATAAATCAAGATACATAAAAATGTATTGACATGAAAAGATTTAATTGCTGCCTTTTTAAATGTTAATGTATGTATACTTATATCACCTCATACTCGTCTCTCTCAAATTTCAAAATGCAGACTACTCCTAATAGTCCTTTAATGCAGAGCTTCAGACCAGTTCTATCATGATCTATAAAGTGAAACATGAATAGATCTAAATTTTTGCAGTTTGGGTGATTTATCCTAGTCATTGGAATGTGAAAAATTATGGAAGATTTAGAAGAGGAATAGTGAACTCTTTCAGGAACCTTGTACATGAATGTAAAAGGAGCAAAGACAACATGGAGATGGCCATATCTGACCTCTGCTAACTCCACAAGGGAAACTGCTCCAATCATCATTATCCACAGAACAAAACCAATTCCCATGAGGTTAGGCATGTGTCCTCTGCTTCTGCACCTCTTTCAACTAACTCCAATACCAATCTGTTGCTGTACTGGGTCTCAAATCTGTTGCAATTCCTCACACAGCACACAGAATCATACTTGCTATTACAGATTTTATTAGGGGAGTCAAAAGGTTGTAATTCATGTTTGAAGCAGAATACAGTTAGTCAAGACAGCTTCCAAAATGTGCTCACAGGCACCTCAGCCTTCAGCATCATAGCTTTCGGCTAATGTTACAAGCTCTTAAACCTGTCAGTTATGACTGTCTTCCCTAGTCCTCCAGCAAATTTGGACAAAGGCTTCAAGCCCTAGTTCCATGAAATGAAACAGCAATCCCAAGGTCAGCTCTGTTTCATGCTGCATCTCTGGGTCTTCTGTGGCAGCAGCTGCTGCTACGTTTGCTCCTGTAGGCCCTAGTCTGAGGGGTGCAGGAAACTTTGACTCTGAAGGATGCACACTCTATGTGCTGTTTCTTCTTTGCTGGTGGTGAGAGTCCCCAAATCTTCCTCTGAATCTGCTCAATTTAGTGGTGAGAGGAGCCCAGTCCCTTGTGAATGCTAATACACCCTATTTGCATATTTTGCCCATCCACATGATAAAGTCAAAGTAAATGCCTAGTAAAGCCATTTTGAATAATAAACTCTTGACATTACAATGAGATTGGAATACTACTATCTCTTCTAAGAAAGATGAGGCTCTCTACTCCTTTTAAGATTTACAGCCTCAGAAACTTTAGGTGCACCATGAAAGAGAGCTGACTCAATGGCAGTGGGCTTGGTTCTTTGCTTTGGTTGAGAGCCATACACATTCAAAGCAGGCAGTTCCATCTTTGAATGAGGCAGTCCTGTTTCTAAGATTTACATTAATACTATGTAAATATGCTCTCATTTTGAAATGTTGAAGCAACTCTGACTTACAACAAATTCTTCCTTGTAATCACCTTCACTTGCTATACGTGCAACTTTTAAATTAATGGAGAGACATGAATGAAGCCTTATACTGAAGTAAGGCTTAATGACAGTTGAATATCACTGTTCTTTGAAAAAAAACTACTCTCTCATTGCCATGTAGTTGGAACCATCTAATAACTGACCTGTAGGGTTTTCTGAGGTTGTAAATCACTTGGCAGGAGGGTCTCTTTCCCCTGAAGTTATTGGTGAATAACTTTATTAGCATCTCACTCAGTTCTTTAAAGTGTAGTTAGAAAAGGGTCTTAACCTAAGGATTACCTGTACTTAGAAAAAGTTACCTCTTAAATGAAACTCAGCCTACCATTCTTTTTATTGTTATTCTTTAGACAATTTAGAATTCCTTTGTTAAGAACTTCTTCTACAGGGATAATTTTCAGAAAATTCATCCTGACTTCAGTAGTGTAAGAGCAACAATTTAACTACAGAGACTTAATAACCTAAAACAATGATGGTGATATCAAGAGTGGAAGACGCTTCTGTGGGCCTATGTCTGTTAAGCAGCTCTGGTTGCATAGTCCATGGAGAGCTGTCCTGCTAACTCAAAGGCAGTGCGTTTCTGGTGGTGAACTATGATTTGGTTCTGACTCTATGGCAATGACAATATTTCAGTCTGATGCCTGTTAAATATGTGAAGTGGTTGTAATACAGTGACCCCTGTGAGGCCTAGAGTTCTTGACTTCTCTTGTTTTTCCAGATCTTTAAAGTATACCACCAATATAAGGTGCTTACTAGTTCCTTCTGTTAAGGATATGGCCTTGTTTAGTTTGAAGCTTTTCTTTTCTGACAGATTTCAGCTTTCCAAAATTCTGGCTTTCAAAGGTTTTACTGTACTTTTCTAGAAATGAAAATCATTTTAACATTGGTATCCATTTAGAATTGAAATTTCTACTCTATTCCCTGCATTTGGTGTATCAGCATACACATGAAAAGTTGTGTCTCAGAGTACAGAGGTTTTACATCATAGCTAAATGGGGACTGCTTTTCAGTCCCTGCCATGTGCACGACTCTGAAGGAAGTAAAATGCCAATAACTCTAGATGATAGGACAAAACCTATAGAATTTGAGGGAACTCAGCTGACTCTTCTGTACCAACTGTGCATGGGTCTGTGGGTTCATTTGCTTTTTTTAAAAATTATGTTGATTGTTTTCTTTTTTCCCTTTTATACTGGCTTACCTACAAAGTTCACATACGTTGTTTTTCACATTGGATCTTTCCCCTTTCCTTTACCCACCTCTCCCTCTGTCCATCAAATTGTGTTACCCCATGATTAAGCTCCCCTTTCCCCCTCCTTGGATCCT